TCATCCCATGCAACCTTGACGTATACTTAACATTATCATCATATCTAATATTTTATTAAAATCAATACAAACTATTATATTTATATTTATCTTTACCATTTAACATGTTACAGGATTAATTCATTTTGATCATTAAATATAATATTTCTTTAATAAAACTAATAAACTCAAAATAAACCATAAAATTTATTATTTGATAAATATACAAAATACAAATCAACTTTTTAATATAAACCCTATTATATTACTTAAAATATATATAAATAATTACTGAATAATGCAATAATTATATTATAACTCACTAACAATACCAAATTACCCTAGTTGTTTATAAATACAATATAAAGCAATTTGTATATTTATACCAAAAAAAAAAAATTGTATATTTATACCACATATTTTGTTATACAAATTTGCAACACGAATTCTCTATGAATAATTATCAAGAAATTAAAAAGCAAAGATTTTATGGCTCCATTTTTGAATCCATCATTTTCGGGAATGGGATTAAACACCGTATTATTAAAAGGAAAGCTAATGAGATATCAAACTTTTCAAAATTTATCATTTGGAATACTGTGTTCTTTTCGTTCTTTCCACTTGCTTCAGCATCAGTTGCATCATTCGTTGATACAAATTATGAACCAAACACAGATTTGTATGATGCAATTCTTAACACATTTTTTCCAATCTTTTTTGTGGTTTTACTTAATGCATCAGGTAAATCTGGATCCATCAAAAATGTAATATTACCATTTCTAGATGATGTATTATATAATATGATCATTGGATGATTCCACTGATAGTTTCTTTCGCCTATGATGACTTAATGAGCATAAAGATATTTTCAATCATAAACATGTGTTTACATGTGTTTTTTGCAGTACTTGCAATAATTAGATGGGAAAAAGTTGTTGTTGATGGAAGACTTATTTTTTCTTATGTCTTCTCTTTCTTGATATTTTTTCCAGTTCTAGTTATTCCAATATTCTGGATAATTATCATCACACATAAGCATACTCTTGATTCAATTTCTATAATATTTGTTACATTATTTGGAATATGTTTAGTTGTTTTTATGATAGCTTTTACAATAACATTTGTAAAAGACCGTTTTGATAATACTATGATTGATAAAGTACTATATTCATTATTTATTATATGTTTTTATGCTCCAAATATTCTTCAAACATTATTGATTGCATTAAGCTGGCCAATTAATTTTTACTTTGTTAAAGCATGCGTGTTTATACTGGTTCTATCATTAACAAGAAATGTGTCATACTATACTGATAAGGTGCCTGATGACTTTCTGGCCACTTCAACAACAATTACTCAATGTTTAATCAGGTTTCAGACAAAAAAAAAGTTTGAAGATATCCTTAAGGGGACACAAATATCAATGGAAGAAATGCACGAAATACAGAAAACAATGCAGACAAAAATTGACGAGATGCAGACAACAATACAAATGACAACTGATATGCAAAAAACAATGCAGATGAAAATTGATGAAATTCAGAAGACAATGAACGAAAATAAAAGCATAAATTAATGAAACAAAAAAACATTCAATTAAAGCAAGGATGATAATGCAGAAACTTAACTATCCTATTAAAAATTTTTAATTTTCTGTTTAAATTTTCTGTACTTATTCATTAATATGCGATTACAAACCTTAAAATAAATTGACTTACTGGTTTTCATATGTTATTTAAATAAAAAATAATTTTTCTTTTATTTTATTAAATGTTCACATCAGCTGAGATTATGTATAGTTTCATTTATTGTTCGGAAATGACCTAACCATTTGACCATTTAAAGGATTTGCCCTAATCATTTGTCATTATTCATAATCATTTCATTTCAGTGAATTTGATTGGTTGATGACTTAACACGTAATTTATGAAGGAAAAAAATATTGAAGTATAATGCAGGCCAAATGACCAACATTAATCCGAAATAATTAATCATTTGTCATTTGAATCAAGTTCTTTTTGCCGAACATTGGTTCATCAGAGTTAAATTTTTGGTTTTCAAATAACTGTATGCTTCAACTAAGTATTATTAAATTTAAGTAGATGTTAGAGAATATTAGATTAAATGTCTCGTAGAGTAAAACCAAGTCTGTTCGAGCATATTAGATTTGTGCAAGACATTAATCGAAGTTACATTGGTATTCGGTAGGTTAAATAATAGAATCAAATAAAATATATTAAATAATAAACAATGTAGTATAATTATAAAAAAGATTATAACTAAAATTTCTATAATGTGGAGAAACGTGCAATCATTTTATATTCTAATTACTCAATCTATCTAATTTCATTTTTGCTCTATTCTAACGTTAATAATACATGAAAGAAAAATATATCAATATTTTACTGTACATCCTCACATTTATAAATCAATAAACGTATATTCGATAGAGAATATTTTTATAAAATATGCGTGAATTTAACAATAAATTTTAAAAATTTATTAAACAAAAGCATAGAAATGGTAGGTCATTTGAAAGTAAATAATCGTTAATTTCCATATTAAGGAATTCAAAAATATATTTAATCAACTATTCAAATTTATTAAATTTTGTATGAATACTATTGCTAAAGCTACCTGTGATTATCACCGTAAATTCTGGCCAAAAATTATAATTCGGCCAGAGTTACATATTAAAATATTGATGGTCTCCGGTAATTTTGAAAAATCAAAAAATTCATGGTTTACAAATCTAACTTGAATAGCAGGTTTTCTTTTTCTAATAAACATTTTTTTCTCATAAACTTACATGTAATCATGTTATAAATTTTAAAAATATATGTCAAAGCTAATAGTAAAATTTTAAAAATTGTACCGGTGATAATCACCGGTAATGACAGGTGATTTTAAGTAATTCCCAAAAAAAAATTTAAATTTTTTAATTTCATCTGCACTCCTATAAAATAAATTTTTTCAATTCCTTTACTAGTTTTATAATTTTCAAATACTTTGGTAGGATTAATCGTCTTGTTATAAACTCATGAAAGCTAATCTTATCTTCTTTAATTCCATTAATAAAAGTATTGATTAAACTTGTGGATTTTTCCTCCAGCAATCGTTTCTTTAATTTCACCTTTTTCATCATTATCAAAATTAAAATTATCCATCCAAACATATTTGAATATCCTTTATTATACAATTCAGTAGCTTTATCATAACATTGTTTTGTACCTTTTCCTTTTTTATATAATGTAGCAAGATTACTTTCAGTTAACTTATGTCCTAAAATCTGATGCTTTTTTAATAATTCAAATGCCTTCTTCTTTTCAACCTTAGTTCCAATTCCTTTACTGTAGTAGTCACATCCCAATATATTTACCCATTTAAATTTTTTCTTTCAGCCGAGAATTAGTTCCTATTCAATAATAACATTTCCCTAACATATTTACTCTTATCCCCTTTATTTGATCTCTTAAGTAATTGAAAATTTTCTTAATTATCTCGATAAATAACCATTTCCTTTTTATACATACGAATAAGATTATACTAAATCACGCTATGATGTTCAAAGTTTGCCGCTCTTTTATAAAATTCAACTGCTTTTTTTAACGCTAGTTCTAATTTCTATATAATTTTTTTTTCAAATTACTAATTTTATCTTAATAAATTCAGTATTTAGTCTTATTTCTACCGGTAATTTAAAATAATTGATTTTTAAGTTGTACTTTAAATCACAACGTTTTTGCAAGGGTGACATGTTTTTCAAGAATTCTAAACTTTAAAAGATATAATACCAGATTATTCATTATAAAAACAAAACATATTCAACAAAGTATCTGTTTATACAAATATGATGACCTACAATAATAACCACATATCGGATTGAACTCATATACATGTGAGCCTGTTGAGCTTGAGATGAAAGCCAAAGTCCTCGATTGGTAAGTACATTTTTATCCTGCAAATTATTAAAATTTATTAATATTATATATATTATTTATATTATTATTATAATTCATTTACTTACAATTGAATATGGATCAATAACTGAATTTCTTCTACATCTGAGAGAATTATATATTTCCATTTTATTAATTATTTTAATATTTCAATATTTTAATTGATGTGATTATTTTAATTAACGTGAAATTTATTTTATATTTATATAATAAAATATTTATAAAAGAAATTTTTTTTAAAAAAAATAAATAAATTTCGATTTGATAAAAAAAATTGGAGAAATAATAATTACATAACAAGAGTTCATGTTTAGGACTATAAAATGTAAAATATATGAAATGTGATTTATTTTAAACTTGTTCATTTCTAATAAAATCATGATATTTGAATTTATAATAAATGTTTTTTTAACTTATCATACTTTCAGAATTGTTATTTTTCAGTTGTGCAGCAGTGAAAGGAGTTTTATATGAAAAGTTCTATATAAAATTTACATACACTATTTTATATAATTTTAAGGACTCAACATGGATTTTATGTAAATGTGTAAAATGTCTATGTAGGTTTTTTATGAAAAATTCAAATATATTTCATATAGTTTTAAATAAGTATTATTTAATATTATAAATGATAAATTCGGTTTACTTTAGAAAATGTATTTATGCAATATCTTTGCTGAAATGTATCAAATTGCCCAAATAGTAAACAAATCGTAGCCGAGTCGTACAAGTAATCATGAAACAATCTAGTAAGTAATCGTCTTTATCCCATGTTTACTAATTGGTCGCCAGTGATTATTTTGATGATATATTCATGCCTGTAATTTTTCTGATGATATTTTCATGCTCACGTATTTTTATAGTTTATTTATACCTTCTCATCACTGGACGTTAGTCTCCATGAGATAAAAGAGTTATTTCACGTGTCGCATAAATATCATGATTTTCACGGCTGCGCCGTAAAATCATAACTATTACACATGTAGTTACTACGCATTAAGATGATCACCGATCAATTTTTTTTGATTAATCCAATAAATTATCCCAATTTTTTTTAAAAAAAATTTAATAAATAATTAACAAAATTTAATCAATATATTGTAAATATCTTGTAAATACATTATTAAAACTACATAATTAAATTTTAGTAAATGTATAAATAATATTCATATCAAAATAATATTATAACAAAGAAATACTTGTTATTCATATATAAGTAATTTTCAAATTCAAGACTATCACTGATTTACCACTCATATCAACTTCAACTTTATAGGATATTTATAGGATATACTTTACTAAAAATGATACATTCTTTGACATGTATTTTTAATATTTCTAAAAGCCTTCACAATAATATTTTGTAATTATGTCATGTCAAGCATATTTAAGCATATTTGAAATTTATTTTTTTTATTAATCATACAATAAGTTACTATTATGTATAATTAATTATATAGCAGTTTAATAAAGATAATGTACAGTACATTATTACAACCCAATTTGATCCAATCCAAAGCCGATCTTACAGGAAAAAGAAAACTTGAAAAACAGTAACTATTTTTAAATAAAAGGCCAAATTTAAAAGAGTCAGCTATCACATAACCATATCTCCATACTCACTCTTCCAAAGCACGAACTTACAAAATTATTAAAGTAACCGATTCTTTAATTAAAATAGGCTTAAAGTTTCGAAAAAAATCCAGGTTACGCAAACACCACTATTATTTATATTATTGTTCTTTTCATATGATGGCATTTAAAGCAAGAACCAGCGGTAACCTCTAAATAAGAGGGTGGGGTTCCCTAGAAATGTTAGCTAATGTATGGTCAGTAAAACTGAGTACATCATCAATATCACGAGTATTTTGACGTCTGCAATGCCTACAAGGTCAAGACCTACATGGTAGACAAGGTGAAATGAAGGTACAAGGTCGTAGACCTACATGGTACCATTTATGATAAATACGTAAAGATACAAATGATAAGACTACCTCCAACGCAAACGCCGCTGGTTGCCGCTACGTAAATACGCCAAAGATGTGTCATACGTACCTTGGATTTGGCATTGTTATAAACATTCTATATTTATAGTAAAAATTTATGGAAGAAATATGGTAAGGCACTTGTCCCTTCTCCTTGACCATCTAATAGACTCTCTAAGATCTTGTCGTGCTCTACGATTAAAATTATGCCTTCTAACCATTTTTACTTAAAAACAAAGTTACGCAAATTAGCCCCCTACCTATAGCACTTAAGGTGATCATCATCGTTAGGATTAATCACTTCTGCCTTAATCCCTACTCCAACAAACGTCTTTCCAATCCAAAATTCCATGACAAAAGTGAGACCTATGACAACGAAGAGCTTGCTGTTGAGTCCTATGAGCATAATTCAAAGGTCTACACACACCACCATTATTTATATTATCGTATCTTTTCATATAATGGCATCTAAAGCCAGAAAAGGGTGGGGGTTCCCTAGAGATGTTAGCTAATGTATGGTCAGTAAAACTGAGTACATCATCAATATCACGAGTGTTTTTAACGTCTGCAATGCCTACAAGGTCAAGACCTACATGGTAGACAAGGTGAAATGAAGGTACAAGGTCATAGACCTACATGGTACCATTTATGATAAACACGTAAAGATACAAATGATAAGACTACCTTTAACGCAAACGCCGCTGGTTGCCGCTACGTAAATACACCAAAGATGTGTCATACGTACCTTGGATTTGACATTGGTCCCTTCTCCTTGACCTTCTAATAAACTCTTTAAGATCTTGTCGTGCTCTACGATTAAAACTGTGTCTTCTAACCATTTTTACTTAAAAACAAAGTTACGCGTCACTAATATCATCAAAGGAGGTTACTGATACTTAGTTTAGTTGAAAATAGTAATGCTTGAAACTTATTTCATTTTCCGAAGTTGAACACGCTAAAAGTCCTATAAAAAAAAGTATCAAGAAATTTTTAAAAAAAAAATTTTTTTTTTGTTTCGACGTGTCAAACTTATTGTTTTAACTGAATACGACAAAAAAAAATATAGTCAAAATTACGCCACAATAAGTTCGCATAATAAATAATGTGACAAATATTGTAATTTATATGAATCTACTGTAATTTTAATGATCCGACATAACAAAGAAATGAGTCAGCATATTGTGATCTTTCAACCTGCTGACTAATAATCAATGAGTCAATGAGTATCGATAGTCATTTTTAATATTTATAATATTTAACAATAAATCAACAATTTCTTCAATTAATTAATTATAAAATAATATTGTAAAAAAATATCAAATTTTTTTTTTGATTTTTATGAATTTGAAAATCAAACTATTTATCCAGCGTTCAATTTAATTGGAAAAAAAAATCTTTATTATCTTTATATCAACGTCGGTCAATTTTCCTACATGTTATATTGATAAAATAATAATTTTGTAAATATATTTAATATAATATTTTATTTCTTTATTTAATGATACAAAAAAATTCAAAGAAAAATTGAAAAAAAATTGGGGGAAAGAAGAAGGATAAAGAAAGAAACTGGTTTAAAAAAAAGGGAAATTTCCGAAAAAAGAGGAATCCGAAAAAAAAATAAGTACTGAAAAAAATTCTGAAAAAAAATCGGTCCAAAAAGAGTGAAAAAAAAATAACAATACGGTCTAAAACAAAAGATCGAAAAAAAATAATATAAAAAAAATCGGTCTTAAAAGATCGAAACAATGGGATTATTTAAAAAATAATTTTTCAGTTTGGGAAAAATTTAAACCTATTCTGATTAACACACGGATCGAATAGTTTTAACCATAAATAGATTAGGCGGAGGCATGTCACGGGTTTTAATTATATGGCATAGGATTTCAAGTTACACAATTCAAATTATTTATGCGGAGACTAATAATCCAAACGTCAGACAAATTATAGTTTAACGCTGGCCGTTTGATCACATGTTTGTGCATAACTCTGCATACCTCTGGCCTGTTGAGAAATTCATCTGTCGGAAAATCATGCTGTTTTTTTTTTGAAAAAAAGGCGATTTTTTTTGTGTAAATATATAATAAAGGGAATTTTGATTTCTTTTTTTAGTTTGAAATATTTTTTTTTTTAATATAATAAATAATAATAAAATGATTTTTGATTGACTTATAGTAAAAATATAAAGGTAATTTGATATTTATTGTTTGATAATAGATTTTCATTTTTTGAGTAAAAGAATTTTTATTTTTTTTATAAAAAACTGAGAGGAACATTATGGCTAGAACCGCTAAAATTCTTATATTCTCACGTTGACAATTTTTTTTTATTTTAAATAAATGTATCATCTTACTTTAATAAATTTAATTATTTATAAGAAATTTAACTATTATACAAAATTTTGTATCGAAGTGAATAATTAATAAATAGTTCAAAAGAATCTGAAAAATATATTGTAATAAATGTGCGTAAACTATTCTCCCTCTGTGTAGTTGCTACAGATTTGCAACTATTCAATAAACGAGATTGCTTTAAATCAATAGTAATAATAATAATAATAATAATATTTTATCAAGTCATTATCGCAAAAATAATTAGTCATTAGTAATAATTAAAATAAAGTATTGTATCTGATTGGTTGCGTCAAGTAAGATAAAGTGCAGCTAGTCTTTTATTTCTAAGCTAAAAATAGTAGGAAAATCCATCTATTTATTTATTTCTAACAAAATAGAAAAAAAACAAATTCCAAATAAAGTTAAGTAACATCCACAATTTTGTCATCACAAGGACAAAAAATATCCAAATAAATCAAGGTTAAATCAAAGATACAAAAAATTGATCACTTTTGTATATTCAAACATGGTTTTTTTTTCATAATTTAATAATTCTAAATATTTATAATTGTAGCTGAAAAGAAATCTAATAATAAAATAAAAGAGTTGATATAAAATTGATAATGAATTATTACTTAACTGTTAATATTATATTTAGTAAATTAATTAATTGATACAGCCCTACTTATAGTACAATTTAGGATTCTTCAGTGCCGTCCTGATTTTACATAAAAAATCTTGTTAATATAAAATATGTTTGTATAGTTTTATTTAAAAATTAAATAAAATATACAAGTATTTTTAAATTGCAATTCAATATCTACATAATTTTTAAATAGATTTATATTTACATAAATTTTAAATAATATTACAGGACGTTTTTTAATTATTAATATATTATTAAAAAAATGTTGCGGGAGATTTCGATATGGAGAGATTTGGTGATGCTGGTTCCAGTTTTTCACCAAATTTCATATGTATTTCTTCGTTTTTTATGTAATATGTTCTCTTACAGTTACTGATAAAGAAATGCGTTTATCGATTTAAAAAAAAAATCGTCTTCTTCTGCAGGGCGGAATATTTAGTTGGACAGATATTAAATAGTTTCATTTATAACTACCTCACCGTCAAAGTAGATTTTCTCTTCTTTCATTTTTTTATTTACTTTAACAATTTTGTTTTGTTTATAAATTTTTGTATATACTAACTATTACTGTTTAATAAAAATTAAAAATATTAAAAATAAAAATGATAGACGTCTTCTGTGTAACCGTTGATCATCATAATTATGTGTTATTTTATACTTATCATACATAAATCACAATTACTACGCCTAATCATCTAAAACAATAAATTGTGCGACTATATCGGGAATCCACATTCCGAAAATTTCTTTTTTTCCTCTTTACTTAAGACGGTATAGTATATACTTAACTTCTATCGGAATCTCCATTCCGAAAGTTCTTTTTTCCTCTTTATATACTATAACTTCTTGTTCTAGAATAGATAACTTTATATTCCGGAATTTTTGGTAAAATTTTTTGAAACGAATTTCTTTTCCGGAAAAATTTTAATTCTTTGCCCGGTAAAATTTTTGCATATCGGCACGTATTATTAATCACTGAACATACCCCGATTTTGTATAATAGTACTAACACATTTTTTATTAAAGAAACTTCGAATTCTTTTAAATATTGTAACTTAATATTATTGTATTTAACACATACACATTGGTGAAAATAGAACATACTAACGAATAAGAAACTTTAGGCCGGGCAAAAAAAAATTTTAGATTCTCGTGACCCGGCCGGGTCAGTTTTTCGAAAAATGGGAAATTTTTTTTTATAGTAAAAAATTTTATAACGTGATTATAAGTTATTGGCCAATGTGGCGTAAAAAAATTTTACATATAAAAAAATTTTACAAATATAAAAAAAAATGCCGGCCGGCCGGGTCATTTTTAAAATTTTATGTCCCGAGAATCTAAAAATTGTTTTTGCCTGGCCTTATAATAATCAGTAAGACTTGTCAAACTTTTCAATACTCCAAGTTCAACGTTACATCTACAAGAACTCCCTATATATATATTTTTTTCATTTAATTTTTTAATCGAAGTATTTTTATTATATTATTATTTAGACTATTTTCGATTATGCATAAAAAAAATTTTCAATTTCTTTCAAAAAATTGCTTTCGGAAATTTTCTGGGTCTCTGACTGGAAATGATCCTCGTATTTGTTTTCATTATATCAAAACTTAAACTATGAATTGGACACGCGTGTCACGAGGGCGCAGTAATTTGTAGTGCAAAATATTTTGGCAAATTCAAAAACTGATTGGTCTAATATATTATGACTCTAAACAATCTAATCTGTAAAGAAAATCATCATAATGATATAATTAATTGCCTTGTCGATCATAATTAGCATAGGTTGCAGAAGATGGTATGTCGTACACATTTACGTAAATGAATGTCTTAGTTTAGCATCGAAAATGTCGCTATACCCATTAGCAATTAGGTACCTTTCAGTGGTACAAAATTTGTACATCGTTAAATACTAATATTAAAACAAGCCTCTTATTACTCCATTATGATTATTGATAATGCTATTCCTCTGCTTGATTGTTATTTGCTTATATCTCAATGAGTTCAATTTGGCTTTCACCCCTACCAACACAGTTTGGGGTCACAGCGCCGTATTTGTAGTTCCCAAAAACTTGGCTAATTTTAGTGAAGTTACATATTCCAAAGAATTTTATTATTTAGACGTTGAGAAACCCTTTGGAGTCGGAGCAGGAAATAAATTACCTTGGGTGGATCTTAGTTTCGTATCGCGAATTCTTCCAGAACACGCATGGAGCGCGTTTTTAAATTGTGGACATGATGATTCTCTAATTTTGTTTCCTGGAGAATACAGAGAACACAATTTTACAGAAGCAACAGTATACACTTACAAGTTAAGTTTACAACAATGGAACAGATTTACACCCACCAAACCACCTATAGATATTTATCACAGCCAGCCCCAGACCGTTTGTGATGCTAAAACTGAAACAATGTATAGATTTGGTGGCATAAAACCACCTCTAACTACAAATAAATATTTGGATATTTTGGATACATCGACGCTAGTGTGGAAAAATGGTAGTACAGTTTATGCTCCAGGAGGAAGGTTCGATCATACGAGTACATTGTTACCAAACGGTAATATTGTTTATATAGGTGGTAGCTTACCTGATGGCAAAGGATTTGTAGAAATGTCAGATGTAAATCAGCATCGTTTAATTGATTAATTGAGAGTCTAAACTGTATATTTACTGATCATTTTTTTTTTTTTTTTTAAAAAAAAAAACTTTTGTATAATACAAATAATGATACATGGACTTTAATGGTAAGGTATTTCTTTTAAATTAAGTTAATCGTTCATTCTCTTATAAGATACATTATATTTCAGAATACCACTGGTGATCTGCCAACACGTCATGCATGCCATTCTGCTGTTCTGAGTAATTATATCTTTAATCTTATTTTGTGAATTAAATTTAATAAAATGAGTAATATATTAAATTGTTCTCAAAATTATATAGCTCAAGATGGTCGTATTATCGTGTATGGAGGCCTTACTGAGGATGGTGGTCCTGCAAAAGATGATCTTGTGATATTAGATACATCACAAGCTGTTTATACATGGTCAAAAGCGAATGTCTCCACAAATAAACCACTTCCACGTTATTCCATACGGCTACTTTGGTGGGTTATTATATGATTGTGATTTTCGGAAGAAATAATGAATTTTTACCACCAACTACACCAAATGAAGAATTTATTTTACCAAATGAAGTATTTATTTTAGACACGAGCGATAAATCTAATTACAAATGGGTTAGTGAGTTTATACCTCCCACACCTCCAACAACTCCAGTTCAAAATTTTAGTACTCAAAACAGAAATCTAGTAATTATAATTTTATCAATTGTGCTTGCCTTGATAGGGGCTTCATTTCTTATACACTTTTATAGGAAAAGAAGACTATCAAAACTAGATATGTTTGTACACTTTCCACAGATAAATTAAACTTGGAAAGCCGACGTGTAGGTTTAATATGATTGATTCATTTCATTAAACAGATAAACGTACCACTTAGTTATTTCACAAAAAATCTTAATTGTATATGCCATCATATTTTGTATGATGATTTTCTAATTAAATTTGGAGACATCTTTCATCCTTCTAAACGATTTCAAACTTATCCAAACAATAAAGTATATAAAATTTTATTTATACAATACTTTTACATTTATCAGAAGAATCAAGACATTGAATAAAATTGATACACTTAAAAAACTATCATAATCAATTATTTTAGTAAATGAATATTGGTTTTTAGAAATTGAATACTTTTATTATGATATTAATATCAATGGTAATATTTTAGAGAGATTGGCTGAAATAAACAGAACAATTAAAAAATTAAAATTTACATTTAGAAAGTTTCATTTCCTCTTTTAAAATTTCTAAAAAATTGAATATTTTCCATTTACATTTTTATCAAATTTAATTGAAAAAAGGATATTTTATTGAAATCATTATCATTTATCAAGGTATTGATGGTGAAATACTTGTCCGAACAATTTATCAAAGTTGTCCTAATCTTAAATATCACCAATTAGCTTTTAAAATTATTTTTGATAATTAGAAGGATAGACATCCTATGTTATTACAAATAATGAAGTCGTCATTAGAACATACACAGCCATATCAGCATCAGCAGCAACAACAGCAACTAGTAGATTTAATACGAATATATAAATCAAAATGCATAATTAAAAAATATGATACTTATGGTTATGAAGAATTTGAATGCATCTAAATGATTTTATTTTATGTTTAACTTTTATAAATCTTTCTGTATTGTCGAGGTCAATATAATTTTATCATTTATTTTACATTATAAATCAAAGAAATCTTTATACAATAAAAATCATAAAAGTATATTATATTTATTTTGTACATATAACTTTTATGTGTTGGATAATATTCGAATTGGTTAAATTCTAATAATACATTATTAAAAGCTTATCCCAACATAAAGTTTTATAAGGCTTTGAGAACAATATATTTCATTATGCAAAGTTTCCTGATTGATATTTTTATGGGTGATGTTTATTTAAAATGTTAAGCTAAAAAAACTTATCAGTACTTTAGTTTCCGTTATATAAACCGGTTGTCTCACAAGATCAGGCTTGATCTCATTATCGCCGTTCCCATGTAAATGGTGAAATAACTATAAAAAATAGTGACCGTTTTATAATGAATAAATTTTATTTAATATTTCTTTTAAAAGACATTTTTTAATAAACAATAGTAAAAAAATATATATATCATATTAATATGAGAACTGACTGAATGGTAATGACAATTTTGTAACATTCTAAATAGCGAAGCTGCCGAAGCAAAAAATTATTGTATACAAAATTATTGTAGTTAATTTTAAAGAGTTATTTGAATAATTTGTTGTTGAAGTTCATCAGCGGTAGCTAAAATTTTTAAATCTTTAAAATTTTATCATAAACATTATATTGTAAAACTATATAAAATAATAAAGATACTAATGAAAATTAGATTGAAACTTACCTTAAAAACAAATTCTATATATAATGTGAGCCAAAATATCTATTGATATAGAAGTGTTAATTTGTTTGAACGCGTTTCGTACATAGCTTATTTTAACTTTCAAAATAGGTTTTAACAAGCTATTATTTAAACTTTATTATGACATTTAACAATTATAATAACAATCTGAAACTAAAATGCAATGTTTAAACTATTTTATCATTTAGTTTCAGTTAAGTCGGCATCACTACTAAGTCAAAAACAAATAGTAATTACACATTATATAAGTCATATTCACTTTATTAATTTATTAAATTGATTTCATATAAACATAACTAAATAAATAATTTGATACATCTAATTTTTCAAGATTATTTGATTTTGAATCATTGTGCAAAGTCTTTCCATAATAACATTTTTAGGAATAGCACGTCGATAACATTCAAATTTAAACAATGATTTTCTATATGTTTTAAAAAATCCTTTCAACCATATTCCTTTTTTTTTTGTAACATTGATAATTTGCAATTTTTCGTAATCAATTTTTTTTTGTTTAATGTTGTAATAGAAAAAGATCCTGAGTAAATAAACGCTACGGACTTTAACGGTTGCCATTTCCTAGTAGTTATTTTGCAAATCCTTTGATTGATTTCAATTAGAAATATCGTATATTTTGTATAAAAAAATTTAAGTATGAAAATATTTTCATATAAAACTTTAGATTTGCATGTGGCGCAAATATTTAATGTATTTAGAATTTCATTCTATTACGTTACGTATATATATAAATTACAAGTAGGAAATTATTAGTGGTTTGTGTGTTTAAAATGATAATATCAAATATTACTATTGATCATAATCTTAAAAAAACGTTGTCAATCACTGTACAATATTAATAAACAACCTAATAGTTAAACTTTATTGAAAAACACGCTCTTATTAACAGTTATTACGGGCTTGTAATGATAATAATCATTTATTTTCTTTGTACAATCTATAAACAAATGAATTACCTCTTTTAACGAATTAGTAAATAAATATGCATTCCATAAAATATTTCTCAAAAGAAAATTCATTTTGCTGCGAAACCATTGAAATAGTTACAATTCCGGCTGCGCCAAAAATTCTGCTGCGCATAATCGTCGATCATTGCTTTAAAAAGTTTAACGGTCTTTGTAATTCCGATACGCCAGTAGTGTTATCTGTTATCTACTGCGTAATTTTAAAAAAATTCAAATATATAAAGGCACGAAAGAAAAAAAAATGAAATTTTAGTTTCTTCAAAAAAAAATAATAATAACTCTTGTTCGTATTTTCTATATATAATTTATCATTGCTTATATATAACAAAATACTTTATTATGGCCGTTCAACAACCGATGATGCAACAAATGATGCATCAGCAGTTTCAATTTGTAGAACGTGTAGGCACCTCGGATGAACAAATTCAAATTTCTGATCCCTTCAAAGTAGAACGTGAAGGTAACGATGTATTTATTCGTTTAATTAACCCTGGGCTTAGAGATTTTATTCGAGGATATTTGCATGGAGAAAATTTGCATGAGCGCTATCCCAAGGTTGTATAATTATGCTTCAAATATTGTATAATAGCTCAATAGCTCCCTGTTATTTACAAGCTTTTTTTTTTTACCAAATAAAAAATAGATTCCAGCACATCTATTATTTCTCGTTCTGCCTGAACTTAAAAAAGTTGTTGAAAATGATATTGAAAACGCAAATGATAAGTTGCTCTTTCAAGGCCCTGTAAAATTTGGTCAGCAACAGCAACAACAACAACAAATTTCAAGAAATTCGTACAATAAAGACCATTTGAAGTCGTTAGTTGATTCGATTGAAACCGAATATGAACATAGAGTTTGTGAAATCAAAGAAATGGTTGATAATGTAGGTTTATGCAAATACAATAACCTTTTTCCTTGAAAATATGTACAATATATGAAATTAATAATTCTTCTAATAATTATATTTTAGAATGTTATCTCATTCAATAATTTATTTTATCTGTTCACACAAGGTAATTATTAATAATGTTAAATATATTATAAATAATTTGTAATAATACTAACTAATTCGTTCTATATAAGGTCAACATATATACACTTTATCAAAAGGATGTATAATTGGAGCAAAAGTGATAAAAGCAACGTATCATCATTATCCTTCAAAAAAAGATTATATGTATATTTATACTCAAGTAATTGATTCAGGTTTGCATAATTTAATTTTCTTTGTTATCTTAATTTAGCATCTAAATTAAATATTATTTTCTTTTTAGACGGTGTCAATTTTAATTATGGAACAAGAACATTCACTATTATGGAATGGAACGGCATTCGTGAAATCGAAAATCTTCATGTTGTTCCATTGCCTGAAGAAAGTCCAATTCGTAACCAGCTAATAGAACGTGGAAGAAAATTTGCAAAATATGCGATTGGTCCACATTATCTTCAGTGCACTGGAAATATGTTTCGTGATATTTGGTTTGGAACCACCAATTTTAAAAGTGAGGGTCGCGTTATGATCGATATTGTTTCATTTGTTAAGATTAATCCAAATTACAGTATAAGATCAAGAACTAGTAGTAGTGGTGCTTTCGGTTTTTCTGGTTTTAGTATGCAAGAAAAAAATGGTGAAAATAAAAAGTCGGTTATAGAGGATGAACTTTTCATGTGTGCACCTTCTCTTTATGGATTCAGTTTTACAGCAAAAAAATGGGGCGAAGTAAATATTGATGATTTAAATGGTATAGTTTAAAGCTACCCTTTCCTTTATTTTTCTTATTTTGTAAATTTTTTTTTCCATCATATTTCTTATATTTCTTATAATATCACCAATTTTAGAAATTTCATTTGATGACGACGCATTTGATCAGCTTGTTATGGATCCGATAAAAAAGGATTTAATTTCTAGTCTTGTAATGTCTAAACATAAAGGAGTAGATCTTATCAGTGGTAAAGGTGGTGGTTGTATTTTTTTATTACATGGTCCCCCTGGAGGTTTGTAATTTTAAGCGTTTGATTAAATTTTTTACTATTAATAATTATAACATGATCATTTAATAACTGACGAATATTTTTGATAGTTGGGAAAACATTAACAGCTGAGGCAATTTCTGAGTATCTTCATCGCCCATTATATAATGTTAGTGTTGGAGAATTAGGAACGTCAGTAGTTGAATTAGAAAGTAAATTGAGTGAAATTCTTGAGGTTGCAAGTATTTGGAATGCAGTTATCTTAATTGATGAAGGTATGAAATGTTTTTATTTGACGAAATTTGATTTTTCAATTTTAAACTAAGTACTCTATCATTTATAAATATGATTTTCTGTATAGCTGATATCTTTCTTGAGCGTCGAAGCGAGAATAACATTTATCGAAATGCTCTTGTGAGTGTATTTCTAAGGCTGCTTGAATATCATCAAGGAATTCTATTTTTGACAACAAATAGAGGTAGGAATCTTAGAAAATAAGTTTTGCATTTTTTAATTTTATAATACTAAATTATTCTAAATTATTTATTTCATTCTTTTTTTATAGTAAAATGTTTTGATGCCGCTTTCCAATCACGAGTATCAATTTCCTTGAAATATAATGATTTGGATATTAATGGCAAGTTATTAATTATTTAAGTTATTTATTATGTATGACTAATATATTATTTATTAACTAATCACGAATTTATATATTTACAGCACGTGAACAAGTTTGGTATACGTACTTGGATCGTATTGAAGGAAAAAATAAAAGCCAAGTGGACGTTGAAAAATTGAAAAAGAGACCTCTAAATGGAAGGGAAATTAAAACGGTCGTAAGATTAGCAAAGGTACTAATTAATTATATTTAAAGGTGCATGATTTTTTACCTAGATTTAACGTATAAATTTTTGTTTAATTTTAAACAGGCATTAGCAACAAAAAATGATCCTGATGCATTGATTACTACACAACAAGTGGAAACTATTCTTGATATTTCAAAATCTTTTGGTGAAGAATTAGCCGAGAATGATTTGAAAATGCAGGATATGGATGAAAATAATTTAGAAAAGAAAATAAATGACTTAAAAATGCAATTGGAAAAACTTGAAGCGAAAAAGAAAGCTTTAAGTGAATATAATTAAATTAAATCATAATGTGATTAATTAATATTTAAGCATGATATGGTTCTTTTAGTTAAACTTTGTATTTATAAAGAATTTTTTTTTCCTCATGGAAAGCAATTTATTTATTTTTATTAGCAGTTGTTATTTAAATTATTACTATTATCATACCTATCATTTCATTTATATTATTCAAATTCCCATTTTTATCATTTTAAATAAAATCACAAAAATATTTGACAAATTAATGTTTTTTTACTGTTTATTTTTAATGATGAAAAATTTATGATGTATTAACTGACGTACATTGTATTTATTTTACCGTTCATAAAAACTTTACAAATTTTGTTTTCACGAAAATTAAGAATCGAATATATAACATTTTCGATATAGTCCCAAAATTTTGAATTTAGACATGCACTTTAACAGAAGCATGGCCAGGGTAAGAACTTTTATTTACGATTTGATATAATATATTTCCAATATGAAAATCTTTGTGAAGCCAGTCTGACCAGTATCTGACCTTGATATACCGATACACTATGTACCATTAATTGCATGTACTGATAAATTTTCGTACCTCAGTCTGAAAAAAAATACAGTAATAATTGTAACTTAGCCGATACTTTCTTTTGCTCTTTTATAATATTGTATATTTGAGCCAGCATTTTAACGATTTAGCTGGAATATAAAATCAATTTTTTTTTGAATTTAGTGCCATCTTAATTCTGGTGAAATTAAAAATTTTTGTCTAAATAGATTTTGATCCGCATTAGACAACATGACTTATTTGGTTGACTTTTCTTTTATTTGCATATTTTAAAGTCATCACAAATTCTTCAGTTTTTTTTGATTCTTGATTATTCCATAAAAGGCTAATAGAAATTCCGATGGTTTTTGAGATTCTAATGTCGGACCGGGACACAGGACTATCACCGGACAACATTAAAAATTCCTACCCAGGGCCAGGGGTATTATTTGGACCAACATAGCTTATGAACTACCTAGCGCCCCCAAAAAAAAGCACTGGTCGGCCGGCATTATGTAGAATTATGCACTGTCACGTGAGCAGTGCGATGACAAATAAAGTGTGACGAATAAGTTTTTACCAACTCGAAAAAAACGTCCCTCAGATAAATATAAGCTATGAAAACTGAGGGTGTGACGAATGTGATGATATTTCATGGTCACGTGACCAATGCTTTTTTGGGCATGAGATCATTTTGGCTGGAGTGCAAATCGACAAATCAAAACGATCATCTGCAATATTACATCATTAAAAGCGTTCGCAGTAGTACAGCGTGGTTAAACAGTTCTATTTAAAGACTACTGGAAGAATCATTTGTTTCAAATGTTCTTTAATTTTCTGTTAATCAGAATTTATTTGTAATTTGGAATATTTTCAATGGATAAAAAAAGTCAAATTGAATCATTAAATAAAATATGTATAAAATGTAACCTTGTATGTTACACAGAACGTTTTCAACAAGATTTTAAAAATTGGACTAGTGACAATAATGATATTGATAAATTCATTCAAGGTTCTCAGCTATCAGCTCATGGTAATGTAGAAGAAGCATTAGAATGGATACCTTATAGTAAATTTTGCGATATTGAATATATAGCAAAAGATAAGTATAAAGCAAATTGGATTGATGGAAACATAATCAATTGGAATGATGATAATCAAAATTGGGAAAGAAAAGGTCAAATTGTGATTGTAGAATTAAGGAGATTATATGATTCAAAAAATATTACATTTGAATTTATAGATAAGGTATAAATAAATTTATTTTTAATTAAATTTTGTGATTATAGCTAATTTATTATATTTGTAGATTGATAAACCTTATGGAATAACTCAAGATCCAGAAACAGAAAATTATTTAATAGTTTTAAATAATAAATGTAAAAAATGTAATTATGTATGTTATACAAAATATTTTCAACACAATTTTACAAATTGGTCAAGTGGTAGTAATGATATTGATAAATTCATTCAAAATTCTCAGCTATTAGCTCATTCTTATGGTGTGAAAAAGGTATTAGAATGGATACCTTATAATAAATTATATAATATTAAATATATTGCAAAAGATGTTTATAGAGCAAATTGGACTGATGGGAATATAATTAATTGGAATATTTATAACCAAGATTGGAAAAGAAAAGGTCAAAATATTATTGTGCAATTAAAAGGATTAAACATTCCCAAAAATATTACATTAGAATTTATAGATAAGGTACTTAAATTAACCTTTTATTAAAATTCTTAACAAAATTAAAATTTTACTAATGTATCATATTTATAGATTGAAATGGATTATACATTTTATGGAATAACTCAGAATCCAGAAACAAAAAATTATATATTGGTTTCGGATAATAAATGCCTAAAATGTAACCTTGTATGTTATGCAATACATTTTCAACAAAATTTTGAAAATTGGACTAGTGGTAATAATGATATTGACAAATTCATTCAAGATTCACAGCTATCAGCTCACGATGACGCGGAAAGGGCATTAGAATGGATCCCATATGATAAATTTTATAATATTAGATATATTGCGGGAGATATGTATAGAGCAAATTGGATTGATGGAAATATAATCAATTGGGATAATAATGATCAAGATTGGAAAAGAAAACGTCAAAATATATTTATAACTCTGAAAAAATTATATAATTCAAAAAATTTTAAATTAGAATTAGCAAATAAGGTATAGATGAGATTTCTTTAATAACATTTTGTAATATTATTTACCAATTTATTTTATTTGTAGAAACCTTATGGAATAACTCAGAATCCAGATACAAAAGATTATATGATGGTTCTGGATGATAAATGTAATAATATGTGTGACCTTAAATGTTATGCAATACATTTTCAACAAAATTTTGGAAATTGGACTAGTGGTAATAATGATATTGACAAATTCATTCAAGATTCTCAGCTATCAGCTCATGATAATGCGGAAAGGGCATTAGAATGGATACCTTATAATAAATTTTATA